TACTATAATAAATACTTAACGACATATTTGAAACTTTCTAACATCATTTCAACTTGAAAGATATTACTTAGTACAATAAAATGGATCTTATGTTAAAAAAACCCTTCGCCCATTTGTCCCTTTTAATCCAAAGCAATATGAGAAGTACCAACGATGTGAAAACTTGAGTCGTAAGTCAAGCATAATGGCTGTCCTTGGATAAATATTTAATCTGTGGAGCTCATTCCGACATAACCATTGGTTGTTGAATAATATACGCTAATATTTTATAGATGGTTCTATTTTTTGTACGTACTTCTTTATCTTTAGTTAAAAATATATTCATTGAATATTTGTGTGATTTACTTGAGGATTATCTTCAACGACTAACTGTGCTCGCGAATTCTTTCGAATAAAACCTTTTTCTGAAGTTGTTTTAAATCTTAACAGCTTAGCTTAAAAATATGTTTGTATTTCTTGATCCTAACATCTTCTCTTCAGGTATGCCTCAAAACTTGAAAGCAAGATTGTACAGTTAGTGCGTATTGCCAGTGATGACGTATGGATCCGAGACGTAGTCCTTCACTGCTGGCCGTATGAAGATACAAACGGTCACTCAGCGAGCTTCTCGTTTTCAGGTTTTGAGATATTCCTGACGAGAAGATGTGTCGTAATTTCACGAATGCTGTCCAGCCGAGTTGAATCCGTCGATTGACCTCTCGTTCGAAGTTGGACTTATTTAGTCGGACTATTTGTATTAGGTAAACATACTTGTCAACAACTTAGAATAGAATAGAATAATTTTTTATTCAATATAGATCACATGTGTAATTCTTATTGAAAGTCATTTTTTACTTTACCACTGGTTCGAAAAAAAACCTCCGTCCTGGGAAGAACCAGCAAAAAACACAGCGGGACTTTTTTTAAAAGCATATTTTACATTAATGGTTGTACAAACTATATAAGTACATAATTTATTTTAGAAACAGCTTGGAAGCGACCACCTCATTCCTAGGGGTTGTTATCAATCATGTATTCATTTATACTATACTCGTAATAACCCTTTTTATACAGTTTCAACTTAACAAAACATTTAAACTTGGTAATAGAAAGAGCCTGTACACTTTCCGGGACCCTGTTGTAATAGCGTATACATTGCACCAAGAATGAATTCCTGAATCTTTGGAGTCGAGAAACTGGTATCACTAGCTTGTGTTTGTTCCTAGCGTTCACAGAATGTACATCACTTTTTTTACTAAAACTACCTTTGTTTTTGTGAACATACATTAAGTTTTCGTAAATATACTGAGAGGCCAAAGTTAATATATTTATTTCTTTAAATTTATCTCTAAGAGACTCCTTCGATTTTAGGTTGTAGATAGCTCTAATAACCCTCTTCTGTAAAACAAAAATATTTTCTGAATCAGCTGCATTTCCCCATAGCAAAATCCCATTAGACATTATGCTGCAATAAACTAATCTAGCTGTCTCGAAACTAGTGAGACCTCTAATCTTTTTTACTTACTTACTGCAGAACTTATTTTGCTTGCTAGTTTGGAGATATGGGGACCCCACTAAAGAGACTGAGAAGACTGTGAAGACTAAGAACTTAGTGCTCCCAACAACTACCGACAAAGGACATGTGACATGGACATTAAACTAGATCTTTCTTTTGTCCATGCTTATCTTAAGACCTACCCGTTCCGAGACAATATAGGAGTCATTGAGCATAGTGCTAAGGTCCTCCAGCGATTCTTCTAAAGGACTATTTCGTCGGCAAATTGACGATGAGCGATGTCCTCGCCATTGATGTTAATACCGTATCCTTTCCAGCCCAGTAGCTTCAAAACGTCTTACAATGCAGGGGTGAAGGGTTTTAGGGATATAACGACAGCCTATGTTATACATTTGCAGTTGTGTAGGATTCGTACTTTGATTCTGCTTGGATAGTCATCGTAGCCCTACTGTACAAACACTTCAGCACATCTATAAACCAACAGTCAACTTGGCACTGCTGAAAGGACTTTGGCACCGCCCAAATTTCGACGGAATCAAAAGTTTTCTTATAGTCCACATACGCAAGTCAAATCGGCAGATTGTACTCTTCGGTATTGCCGAATTTATAAACACAGATAAATAAAATCAAAATGTAACTTGCCATTACAGTTTTATTATATATCATGAATTATGTATATTCCCTAAAGTCCCTTTACCATTCTTTACATCATTATGCTTAAGTAATTTATAGTAGGGCACATATAATTTAAGGCAGAGGCAGGCCAAGTCCGGCCCGCTTACTATAAAAGATGCAAGGAGGCTAGGTATCCGCGCAAAGGTGCAGCAATCATTTACGCCGCGCCAATTGCTTACACTATATTATTGCTTACATAGTATTGCTTACATTATATTATTAAGCACAAGGACAAAGCAAATAGCTTATAGCTTCAATATGTCGGTATAATCTCATGTGACTAGCTTGTTGGTCTAGTGGTTGTAAACGCGACTGCTAATCATGATGTCCCAGGTTCGAGTCCCGGGTCGGACCAAAAAAATAAGTTATAGAGTTTTTTTATCAAGAAATTATTAGTACCAGCCCGGTGTCAAGGAGATGGCAGTGTTTCACACCCGTCATACCCGTGCATGGGATATCAAGTAAAGCATTTGATCCTGCGCCTGATCTTGGTCATGAGTGCATGCACCAGCGTTGGTGCATGCACTTGTACACTATAATCTTCTCCCGCACAGATGGCTAATCTACGTTGACACTGGACGCCGTGATCGAAATTCCTTCTGGAGGACATTATTTAATTAATGAATTAACATAGTATTTAAATTAAAAAATTATATTACCATTAAAGGAATATCATCTCAAGCATAAAACATTAAGAGTTAGTTAGGTATATGAATATTATAATTTCTCTCTCAGAGAGTCGTTACGCAATATGAATAATGCATCGTCCTTGATGTCTCAATGTTACTCTAGATTTTTATCTAATGTAGTATCATTGATTTAATGAACGGAGATTTAGATATTAATGAATCAAATTGACATAATATATCAGTTATATATTCTAGTGTACAGTATAGTGTCACGTAATAGCGTAGATCGTGTAGTGGCGACGTAAGAATAACGTCATATCTCACTAAACTACCACATAACGTCTCGTGGTTGTCGCAAAAGACAACAGAGAGATATTAAACAGAAGATGGATAGCAGCATCTTTCGGATAACAAAGACTACCCCAGGAGGGTACCAGTACCCCTGGAGAATCCCTCGCTGAGCATCCACGACCATGTTATTCCAATCCTGAGCGTGGGTGCTCAGGCTGCCCCGCGTATTCTGGGGGGGGGGGGGGGGGGAATTCCGCTCAAAAACATAACTGCTCGGGGCAAACTGAGCAACAATAACAAGGCGACCCCTGCCACGCTATCCGTGAATTACTGCAACATCAGGGGACTTCACTCTAACCTAAACGCCGTCAACTACCATCTCGAGACGGCGAAGCCGGCCTTGCTCTTTCTGACCGAGACGCAGGTTTCCTCTCCGGCTGATATTTCGTATCTCTCCTACCCGGGGTACAAATTGGAGCACTCCTTTGTACCTCGGGCTGGAGTTTGCGTGTGTGTCAGAGAGGACATCTGTTCTCGACGCTTCGGCAGTCTTGAAGGTTCGGACTTGTCCATCCTTTGGCTACGCGTAGACAGCGACGACCATCCGCGCGTCTACGGGTGCCTATATAGGTCCCACAGCGGTAATGCCGAAACAGACCGACCCATCGACCACGCCCAAATGGCTACAGATTCCTTGCTACAACAGGTCCCATCCGCAGAGATCGTGATCCTTGGCGATTTTAACGCCCACCATGCCGAATGGCTCAGTTCACGTTTAACCGATCATGCGGGGAGATCTGTTTATGACTTTGCCTTGGCATATGGTCTGCCACAACTGGTTACATCGCCTACGCGGATTCCAGATGTGGAGGATCATACACCTTCCCTGTTGGACCTTCTGCTGACCTCTCATCCGGACGGATATCAGGTTTCCGTCGATGCCCCTCTCGGCTCTTCGGACCATTGTCTGACCCGGAGTGTGGTGCCACTCACGCTCCCTTCGCGGTTGCGTTCTGCTGGTTGCCGCCGTGTTTGGCATTACAGGTCGGCGGATTGGGACGGAATGCGGTCTTTCTTTGCATCCTACCCATGGGGGCGGATTTGTTTCTCGCCGGATGATCCCAGCGCTGTTGCTGACTCTGTCACTGATGTGGTGCTACATGGAATGGAACTATTTATTCCATCATCTGTGGTACCCATCGGAGGCAGATCTCAGCCTTGGTTTGGTCGCTCCTGTAAGACTGCATTACGCAGTAAGCTGGAGTGTTATCAAGCCTGGGCTGCGGCTTCGGCGACTCGGGATGTAAACACCGGCATATTTAAAAAGAAGTATAACTTCGCCTCCACGTCCTTCAAAAGAGTTATTGCCAAGGCAAAGTCAGAGCACATAGGCAGAATTGGCGAGAAACTAGTTCGCCTTCCTTCGGGAACCCGTGCATTCTGGTCTCTCGCCAAGGTTGTCCAGGGGAATTCCTGCAAGCCATCACTACCATCTCTGCACAGGGAGGACGACTCACTGGCCCAAGACGCAAAAGACAAAGCTGACCTTTTAGGCTCCCTTTTTGCGTCTAACTCGACTCTTGATGACGGGGGGAAAACCGCCGACCATCCCGCGGCGTGAGTGCTCCATGCCGGATGTGCTGTTCTCACAGCGCTCGGTTCGCAAAGCACTTCTCTCCCTGGACATCCAGAAGTCGAGTGGGCCTGACGGAATCCCCCCAATTGTGCTGAGGACGTGTGCTCCGGAGTTGGCACCGGTCCTAACGCGTCTTTTAGGGTACTTTTACTCCCAAGGCGTAGTCCCGAACTCATGGAAGACAGCTTTTGTCCACCCGATCCCTGAAAAAGGCGACCGCTCAGACCCGTCCAACTATAGGCCTATCGCGATCACCTCCTTGTTCTCCAAAATAATGGAATCCATTATTAACTGCCAGCTCATCCGGTACCTTGAGGATCACCAGCTGATTAGTGACCGCCAATACGGTTTTCGTCGGGGTCGATCAACTGGTGATCTTCTGGTCTACCTGACCCATAGATGGGCGGAGGCAGTAGAGTCCAAGGGGGAGGCGTTGGCCGTTAGTCTGGACATTGCGAAGGCCTTTGATCGGGCTTGGCACAAAGCGCTTCTTTCGAAGCTCCCTTCCTATGGGCTTCCCGAGAAATTGTGCAATCGGATCACCAGCTTCCTTGCAGATCGGAGCATCAAAGTCGTTGTAGACGGTGCATGTTCTGACTACAAGCATATTAACGCTGGTGTTCCACAAGGCTGTGTGCTATCACCAACGCTGTTTCTTCTGCATATCAATGATATGTTGCTAACTGGTAACATTCATTGCTATGCGGATGGCAGCACTGTTGATGCTGTATACACCGGCCGTGCCAATATTTCTCGGGAAAACGTCGTTGAGTACCGGAACAAACTTGTGTCTGAAGTCGAGTCTTTGCTGAACAAAGTCTAGGATTGGGAGCGACTAAATCTAGTCCAGTTTAATCATCAGAAGACACAAATTTGCGCGTTTACCGCTAAAAAGAACTCCTTTGTCGTATCTCCTCAGTTTCAAGGCACTCCCCTTCTTGCCTCAGCCAGTATCGGTATCCTCGGAATCGACATATCGAGTGACGTGCAGTTTCGTGGTCACTTGGAAGAGAAGGCCAAATTGGCCTCTAAGAAGCTTGGCGTGCTCAGCAGAGCGGGACAGTATTTCATGCCGGCACACCGCTTGCAACTTTACAAGGCGCAGGTTCGGCCTCACATGGAATACTGTTCCCATCTCTGGGCAGGGGCTCCCCAGTGCCAAGCTCCTTCCACTTGACCGCATCCAGCGCAGAGCGGCTCGAATCGTCGACGACCGAGCCCTTTCCGATCGGCTCGATTCATTGGCACTGCGAAGAGATGTTGCATCCCTTTGCATTTTCTTTCGCACCTACCATGGGAAATGCTCTGACGAATTGTTCGGATCAATCCCAGCCGCCAAATTTCACGCACGCACATCGCGGCAGAACTCCCAATACCATCCACACCATCTGGATGATTGGTGGTCCACCACTGTGCGATTTAGAAGATGTTTTCTTCCTCGCACAACTTCCTTGTGGAATCGATTACCATCAGCGATTTTTCCGAACCGATACGACTTAGGGACCTTCAAGAAAAGAGCGTACTCCTTTTTAAAAGGCCGGCAACGCATCTGCAATTCCCTCCCTGGTGTTGGAGTTGTTCATGGGCGGCGGTAGTCACTTACCATCAGGTGAGCCGCATGCTCGTTTGCCCCCTCTCCTATAAAAAAAAACAACACAAAATAATAAAAAAAACTGTGTCAAGCGTGACAACTATGGCAAATATATGGTGCAATCTATGGGGAGGCCTATGTTTAGTAGTGGACTTTTGATATGCCGTAAAGGTACCTGTAACAGATACATATAGATACATAGATTGCTTCATGCCTGTAATCTCCGAAAGGATAAGCAGAGTCCAAAGAGTAGCAAGTTATTCGGCTACAAGGTAGTAGCCAATGATAAAGGTGTAGAATGATTGTGAAAGAAGAGATCAAGAGAGAAGAGAGAGAGAGAGAAGAGACAATCACAAATCCAACATCCTATTATTTGCCTTTTACTAGGCAAGTAACCTAAGTAACCTTAGTCTTAAAGGGTGACAAGACATCTCCATTTTGATTCTCATTTGATTATAGATCTATATAATATAGGCCAGACCTATCACTGAACATCAGCTGAACTAGTATGGATAATGCAAACGTAGCTTCCTTGTATAAAAAGAAACCACAGACAAATTAAAATATAATACTTAAACTATAAGGATGAATCGGGTTTATGATAATAGCAAACACGACCGGCGACGGGTTAGGCTCACATTATCCCTTCTGAGTTATTGTCCTACGGTAAAGACTAAAATGTTGTTGGTATAGAACTAGCAATAGCAGGAAAATAAGAAATCTAAAAAGAAAAATGTTTATTGTAATTAATGTCCCATCATCTTGTAGAGAATTGCTTCTTACTGCGCTTGCAAGTACGAGCCTGCCACTCAAGAACAATTCTTCCTCATCGGTTGTCGGTTCTTCGAGCTAAATAATCAATCTGTTGCCACTGTAGGCCACTAAACCGCTAGGTTATGTTAGTTACTCTTGTTATTCAGTTTATATGCTTGTATCGGATTTTTTCCCGCATAGAAATTCTGAGCAAAACTTTTCCTCCACTCCGTCTCGTGGCCGCCCTACACTTCGCTTAACGGTACGAGGATGCCACACGAACACCTTTCCTCCCCATCGGTTGTAGGTCCTTCGAGCTGATGGCTGGCCTATTGTCACTTCAGCTGACTGGTCCGTTGGGCTGTTGGGTACTCTAGTTCTACTGCGGATATCTTCATTTTTAAGTCTATGACGCAGAAAAATTATCTCTTACCATACCTAATTGAGCGATCACAAGATCCCACCCTTACCTGGCTTACTCGTATCTATGTCCACTTTTATAAGAATTGCTAAATTAAAAAAATATATTTATTTATGTAAGTCCAAAACCTAAACGAATTTCACGGCTGACAATGTGAGAATAATACGTCTTATAACACTTGAAAGTTGTCACCGTGTCCGAATAGAGATCGAAATCTGCCCGGAAACTCGAAAGCATTATCGTCATTAGTCGTTAACGAAGTTTTATTGTTATTTTTCTCTTATTCATTTATTTTTTATCTTATTCGTGCCAGTATTTAAATACATTCTCCTTTTGGTGAGTAGTGGTCACAAGATACAAAAATAGGAGAGAAAGACAGGCGCTGGCAAACTATTCCACTCGTCAGTATGCACTTCAAATATTTTAGAAGCCGTGGAAGGAAAAGGGGAGATCTCCCGCCGGGCAACATGATCAGCCCGGGGAGCGGAAAATGCTCCGTGTGATAGTAGAAAGCTATTCTATATATACTGCAGTACTGTGAAACTTTGATAGCGTGATTTAGGCTTTGGTGCTTTTTGTTTGTGTCGCGACGACAGCGAACGAAAGCAAACGGTTTATAACTAAAGGTTTGTTCAAATACGTGGGATGTTCACAACTAAGCTGTAGATACTCACCGATACTCTTATTATCCGATCGTAGAAGGGGAAGGGGGATTCAAGTCATATAATTCCTGCGTACATTCTCCGGAATGTACCTACCTCTATGATATATTGAGAAGCTGGCCAAAGAATACATAAACAATACATTTTAAAGCTGGCTGCTGCTGACAGGGCGCGTACTCTGCTGGAGGAGATTGAGAAGATGTCAACTAAATCGATATCACCAATAAGCCTTTTAGGACACCTCTTCTTGGACTCCAAAGCTGCTCCAAGGCATTTTGCAGCAACGGCCTTTATGTGATACCAGTATTACATGCACGATCGAACTATTATACAGGGTTATTTTGCAATAACTGGCCAAATTTGCAGAGAAGGTACAGAATAAGTAATATAGGCATATGGTGAAGAAAAATTAATTTAAAAAAATCTCAAACATTCTGTCCTATTTATCTTTAAAATTCAAAATGCTTGGTAATGCATTATTTTAGCTAAGCTAAGCAAAAGAGCTCATAAATGTGTAGCATCTTTGAGGCTTTGGGCTAAGCAACATGTTACTGCTTTACGCGATTTAGATGGCAACTTCTCGGCCAATAATAAGCTGAAAAACAGATTAGTGAGCCAAAGTGGCAATGGGCCTGCCATATAGCTCGAAAAACCGACAACTGATCGGCAAAAAAGGTTCTCGAGTGGCGGTCTCGTACCGGCGGACGAAGTATAGTGCGTCCCCCCTCTAGATGGAGTGACGGCCTGGTAAGACAGCATGAAGTCGATGGATACAGGTTACTCAGTGCTTTGTGGCAATCCTTGGGGGAGGCCTATGTTCAGCAGTGGACTTGTGAAGGGCTGTAATGATGATAATGATGATTCTCGGCCATATATTTTTTTATAATTAATAGAATCAGGCGTTACTTTGCGGAAATCCATTATATAAAACTTTTACAAAAAATTACTTCGCAAATATCCGCGTTATAAAATAAAATGATGTGTCTTACCTAGTATGAAGAAGCACCTCCCGCCCTCCCTCAATTGCGTGCACTATCCCCGTCACCACTAATCCCAGCACCGCTACTCCCAACACCACTACACTAGGCAAGACACACCACTGACGATAATACGACACGTGTTTCGCCTCTACACGAGGCATCCTCAGGTTATATAGACTCTACGGTGGCTAACCACTAAGTAAAAAATATATTAATAAAAAATATAATAGAGCACCTCCCGCCCTCCCTCAATTGCGTGCACTATCTCCGTCACCACTAATCCCAGCACCGCTACTCCCAACACCACTACACTAGGCAAGACACACCACTGACGATAATACGACACGTGTTTCGCCTCTACACGAGGCATCCTCAGGTGATATAGACTCTACGGTGGCTAACCGCTAAGTGAGCTGCGAGCCAAAACAAGTGCCTTTTATACAAATCGATGATGCAACCGCTCTCTGCCTAAGGAGCGAGCGACTGCGTCATGCGATAAAACATGCGACCAATCACCGCTGGACTTACGCAGCCGTTTGTAAAATTAAAAACAAACCGCCGCGCAACGCCCACATTATTAGAGTGCAGGCTTAAAGATATTTAAGAGAGGTGAGTTAGTAACATTTGTTTGTTCATTCAGCAATGCAACGATATTATTATTACTTTTTAATATCTCTAAATTTTCCAGCACACACAGCCGCAGCCCTTTATTACACGTATGTAAGACTTTAAAGGAGTGGCCGTTGGCTAGGTTGTGTCCAGTGTCCAAAAGATGTTTGGCAAAATGGGATTTATCGGGATTGCAATTCCTGTACGCGGCTAAATGCTCTTTATAACGTGTCTCGAAATTGCGACCAGTCTGACCCACGTAAACGGCGTGGCATTCGTCACAAACAAGTTTGTAAACACCTGACTTTTGACAAATATCCAACTTATCTTTACTATTACAAATATTTCTAAGAGAATTGTTTGTTTTGAACGCCACATGAACGCCGTTTTGTCGAAGAGTATTAGCTACTTTTTCAGATATGGGGCCTAAGTAGGTCAATCTGCTCACATATCGATGAACACTTTGAGGTTGAACCGCGTACAGAGAGCTGCGAATAACATGCTTTTGTTTCTTTTTAATTAAATTGTTAATGAGATTTTTTGAAAAACCGTTAGAGACCGCCATTTGATAAATTATATTAAGTTATTTTAAATAATTTTCTTTACTTAATGGGACAGTGAACAAACGGTTAATGTAACAATAAAAAGCGGCTACTTTATGTTTCCATGGATGACACGATGACGCGGGGATGACCGTGTTAGCGGTTAGCCACCGTAGAGTCTATATCACCTGAGGATGCCTCGTGTAGAGGCGAAACACGTGTCGTATTATCGTCAGTGGTGTGTCTTGCCTAGTGTAGTGGTGTT